GGTACATTGAACCTGAAAAATATTGGTGTTTCCTGATATTCCCAAATCTCTATACCAGTACGGTATTTGGATTCAGAGAATATTCAGGATTCCTGAAAATTTTGGCTCCATTATACCCTATGGGAACCATTATAGTCAATGGTTCCCATAGGGTATTATGGAAAATATATCCAGAGTATCTGGGACTCTGTGGGGGCTGTTTTTTGAGGTAGAGGCACTAAATTTGCAGCATAGCTGCTGGTGCCTCTCCTCAAAAAAAGACAAAATTTCAAAAAGATTGGACCAGGGGTTCCAATTCTATGAGCCCCAAAGGAAGGTGCCCCATCCTCCATTATTTCCAGTGGAGAGAAAAAGGCATTTAAAGAGAACACAGTCCCTTTGAATGCCTTTTACAAGCTGCACCATGAGTGAACACTGAAGTGGCAAGTTCACCCAAAATCCCTTTAAACACCAGGTGGCCCTGAAAAATCATGAATATTTCCGGCATTGTTTGGGCTCTGTCGTTTCGGATGGCTTTAGATAATACCGAGCTTTATATTCGGTTGAAAAGATATCTGGAAAATACCGGATATTTCGGCTCGGTATTGCCGAATGCACACCTCTAATAGGGATGAAACCCTTAGCCCTTTTCTTTGCATTTTGTCCTTACTGGCTATATTTACAAATGAACTAACTAAACAATTTAAATCTTATTCCATATCCTTCAAGAGCAAGCAGTTCTCAAACCTTTGACATAGTTGCTAAGGTTGTGAAACCCCTCTACAACTTGATGGAAATTTCAATTCACCCTTGTGCTTGCGCTTACTCCACATGTATATGTAGCAGTCAAATAGTGGATAGTTAACCACCACAAAGTAATCTTCTTAAAAATAGCAGTAACACTACCCTATTGAGACCAAAGGGAAAAGTACTTCAGACTTGAATGATTTTACAAAATAACCTGTCATAGAATTCAGAATGAACAGAAGCATGTGTTTTATGGAAAGAAGAAGAACTGAAGTTTCATTTTAAAAAGTAATTTACCTTTTAGTTCATTCATTCAAACAGCCTCAGTAACTCTTTGTTCAGAATGCAGTTGTAATACTTCACAATGATAGTATAATCTTTTTATATTTGAAAACCCAAAAGTTCTTTGTAACTAAAAGACAGATCACTACTTTAAAAAAAAACAGAAAACAAGTTGCCATCTCACTCTTAATGACAGAATATTATGGATGCCTAAAGAATTTGTACTTATTATTTTTATTTTTTAGGAATTTAATACATGAAAACAATCTACAGGAAAAATGGGTGCAAGCAGACTGGTACTTTGCAGATACACCATTTTATTTCTAAGCACATAAGAATACAAGATAAAATAATCAAGGAAATATTTTAAATATCTAATATAATGTTATTTACTATCTCGGAGCAACATTTACTTTGCATGCATATGTACACAGTACTTTTATGTCTATAAATATGTCTATAAAAATACCGCATGATGAAGCATAGAAATTATGTCATACTCCAACATTTGGAGGTGCAAACATTTGAGGGAGCATTGAAATTGAATAATTTATAATCAGGTTTTTTTTAGTATTGTTCCAGCCTGAGCTTGGAAGCAAAGACCTCTAAACAGTTTCTATTTTGTAACAAATATTAGCCACTTAAAAGCATATTGATGTACAGGAAATCTACAGAATTTACAGAAAATACAGAAATGCAAGCAAAAATGGAAAGCAAAAGAGAAAAATGTTTCATTTTATAATGAAACTATTTTGTATCCATTTCTAGTGAACGTTTTGGGTAAAGCATGTGTATCACTCCTGAATGAAAACAGTTTTTGTGTTTACCTCCTCAAGTAAGGTTTCTCTGTATATTTATAAAAGACTGAAATATTCTTCCCAAAATTTTCCAACCAGCACAGATGACATGTTGCTCAGGAAAAGCCCAGGACTGAGCAATGTCAGAGTGAATTATCCCATTGCCCCATGAATAACCATCTCTCTCTCCCTCTCTCTGTTCAGACCACACTGGATTATAAGGTCAAAGGAATCCTTAGAAATTTCTCCCTCATCCCTCCAGAGAAGACATTGCATTCTGTATGCACCACAAATATGTTTTTAGTTTTCAAAAATAAAAAATAGTGCCTTTCTGGAGAAAATATGATATTCATTACACTTATCTTGGAGCCATTAGGAAAATAATTTCTTAAACAATGTATTTTCCTAAAGGCGAACTGTACTGATGTGTCAAAAGAAGCAACGTACAACATAGTTTAAACATGTTCTACTGGGTAAAAGGGAGCTACTCTTAGGGAAGTAGGCCCAGGATTGCAATTCAAATCAAGTATTTTATAGAGCAACCCTAAGCAGAGTTACATCCTACTAAGTCCATTGGACTGTTAATATCCTTAACATACTTGCCTTGGATCTTCTCACAAAAAATGGGGTGTGCTGTCTTAGAATCTGTCATTTCATTCAGCATCAACAGCAGAATCAAGAGCCAGCAGCATATTATATACCGGGGTGGCCAAACTGTGGCTCAGGAGCCACATGTGGCTCTTTCACACATATTGTGTGGCTCCTGGCAGGGCAGCTGGGGAAGCAAAGGGCATGCCTCCCCTATTGGTCTTCTCTTACCCAGCCAGTGTTCCCCTTCCTGGGTAGGCTTGAGGCAGGGGGGAGCAGAGAAAGAAAGCAACTTTAGCTTTAAATGTGTTCTGAAACCTCCCCCCCCTAGGCCTACCAATATAATTGGACAAATAAATATCATTATCAACATCTATTTTTATCCTTTTTGTTCTTATTTTTGGCAGTCACATTTAATGTTAATAAAAAGCAAATCTGCATATTTCCCAATAAAAACATGTCTGTAATATTTGTTCAGAGTTGGCAACCTGACTGGTCAAAGAGATCAGGTCAACTTACCCTATAGTGTCAGATATGTTAGAAGCATTAACATCATTAGGCCAAACTACAATACACTTTCATCAAAGAGTTTGATAATAATGCTAATAACCAATATAGATTGGCTGTTATGAAACAACATTATTGTGAAAAATAATGGACTATAATGACTTTCAACAGCATTTGCTAAGGTTTTGATAAATGTGAATGATTCACCGAACAGTTCTTCTCTTTGGCTTTTATCATGGAGCACCAAGGCCAGCCTACTATTACAAAACTTTTAAAGAAATTAAAACAGAAATAAAGTGAACTAACAACAATAATTTAAAGCAGCTATGCTAAGTAGCAGCAGGCCACTTCTTTCCATTTGAAAATACCCATAATTATTAGGGGTTGTTTAACTTTTAGGTGGGTCCTGGAATTCTCCCAGAATTACAATTTTCTCCAGAACAGAAAGATTAATTTCCCTGCAGAAAATGGCAGTTTGGGAGGAGAGACTCTCTAAGCCATTACATCCCCATTCAGCTTCCCCCCTCCCCAAACTCCAGCTTCCTCAAGCACCACTCCTAAATTTCCAGGAATTTCCCAAGGCAGGGTTGGCAACCTTAGTAGTTAATACCAGGTGGTCAACAGGAAAAACTTGCCTCTATCTGCAGCAGACCATTCTCTTTCCTTGCTAACAAAATGACACCATAATGAAATAGAAAAGTAAATTCTCACTTAAAAAGTGGCATTCTAGGTTTCCTGGAAAATTTGCTTATATTAGATCATATTGGTCAATTGACTGGCACCCAAACCCTCGTGCAAATACATATAAATATGAGATTCTAGTAATCATGAGCAGTAGGAGCTTGTGGATGCAATCATTTTCACTTGTATTTTCCCCCACCTGCTTTCTGAGACCTCCCAAAGATTTCCATGGACAAAGCATACCATGATTTGAAGGGCCGAAGTCAAGGAGATATTGGTTAAAACTGTCCTCATTTCTCTCTTCCACCAATGGAGTATCTTGTGTCAGCAGACAAACTACTGACCAAAAAGGAAGTTGTGCGATATTTAATCTTATTATTCCTCAGTGCAAACCCTGTGCCCAAGGGTGTTTTTTGTGAGAGACCCCTGTAACCCCAAGCATCAGCACCTTGGAAGTCTCAGGAGCTGCTGAAGGGAAGGGGAGTCAGGAAAGATCAGCATTTATAAGCACCTTGAGTTCTAACCCATGGTATCTTGCTGTATGTAGAATACTAGCACATTAACTCAGATCAGAAGTGTGAATCCAATTGTCTACCTCTATATATGCAAAATCCTGAGAATACAACTCAGGCTATGTATATGCCTCTGAACTATGGACGACTATTTGTATACACTTTCAGAAACCAAGCTACTTCTTAGTACTATGCTTAGTTTGCCTGTTTGGAACTGCCTGTGCATGACAACTCTTACAAATCAACGTTTCAAGCTCCTAAAATTCATGCTTAGTGAAACTTTATGAAATCAGTATGGCAACATGCACAATGTTGATGATAATACTAAATAATGATTATAACTACTATATAATATGCCTAAAACACTTACATAGATATATTCCTATCTACTTATCTGGGAGACAAACCAAAGTACTACTTTGAAGCTGTTTTTCAAGATATTTTTGGTGTTCCCATTTTTTTATTTAAAAAAGAGGCAGCTTTAGATAAACACATGAACCTGTCATACCATGAACTGGTGACAACTGTATCTTGTAAAATATTAATTCAGTTTTGTTTCGATTGTTGTTTATCTTTTGCAGCCCACTAAGAATGAAGCCTCACAACATGAGGCTTATGAGGCCTTTTTGGAGGATCTGCGATAGTGAGATGATGTATTATCCATTTCCATGAATACTTTCACTAAGGTGCTGTTAGCTGGTATCAAAAACCCCGACAGAGACACAGATTTGTTTGTAAAGTGGCTTCTTTAAAGGAACCAAAATGAAAAAAACTGAGTTCGCCAAACAAACAGAAAGAAACCCTAGCAAACTTAAGATTTATATCTTGTGTGCACTGCTGGTTTTGCGAAAGGCTATAAACCAGATCTACTTCAGTAAGATATCTATAACCACAGAAATTGAAAGACTTCTTGCCTGTTACATCAGCTGCCATCAAACCTTCTGCTCTGATGACCTTCACCTGGAGAAATCCCACATCCTTCATATTATGAAACATCCTCACTAGGCTCTAGAACACACACAGAAGTATAAAATTAGATTGAACTTGCAAAGGAATGGGAAAACAGGCACATACTATTACTTCTTTTCCCATTCATATTTTATAGCAATCTGATTCTTCTGCAATAGGCATTTGGATTGGAACTATGCACTGCACCTTTTCAGTACAGCCACACCTCCACCAAATGTAGGAAAAATCTGTTTCTATTGTTTGATTTTAATGGCTCTCGAGCATAACTAATTTTGATATCTTTTGGTTTTGATGCATTATTTACTCCAAATATCTCAACATTTTTTTGAAATGGATGAATAGTATACAAAAGGGATATTGAAAGGTAGTGCCCAAGTCATAATGCACCAAAAGACATTTCTATATACAGTAAACTAGGCTGCCATCCAGTCCCCGAGATATACTTTTGAAGCTCATGTTTCAATTTCAGACAAGTAATGAAAGGATCTTAAAATCTTCAGTAACTTCTACATCTGCACAAGCTTTTATAGAAAGTAGAATTCTTTTCAACACCTTTCTGATAACTTGCCAAAAACGACTGTTTCTACAATGTATCTTGAACTTATATTATTTTGGCATGAAGCAGTGTACTATGTCTGACAAATATGTTCTGTCTGTCTGTCTGTCACACACGCATTCTTCCAATGACTAGTAAACTTTTGCCCTTAAAGAAAAACACATGTATTTTTAAAAAGCAAGAAAAGTGAAGGATTTCTAAATATTTTACATTATTAAGGCTAATTATCAAAAAAGTAAGAATTTTAATAAGTTGAAATTATTGTTCCTTCTACTTGTATGTTGCTTGATGGATAATCATTAAGAGTACATTGCCTGGAAAAATGGAATATTTTGAAATGTCAAATATTAAAGCGTTAGACAAACATTTTTACCAATAAAAGTCAGACACAAAGCCCACAGTGTAAATCCCAAAAGACGGCTTATTGTGTACAGAGAAGGTCTGACCTTGGCATACTGAGCTGAGGCAATGCAGTTATATGGCACATCAGTTTTCACATATAAATGTATTTATATCTTTCTACAAAACACATGACATCTGTTACAAATATAACTTTTAATTTCTTAATGTTTGTCCATCATCAGAAATGTATTTAATCACACAATAAAAAGCACAACAAAAGATTTTTCACACTTTTTACATGACTGCAAACTACCTGGGGCTGATGCTTATAGTCTAGATAGTATGAGAATCCATATGCTTGTCAGTAGTGCTCCATTCCACAATTTCAGGCAGCTTTTTGTTAAAGCTAGTATCTTAATTCAGATGTTTTCCAGGACTATGCAAAGCAAAGAGGATTGCAGAGGCCAGGTATGAAGAGTGGGGATATTAAAGGTTAGCTCTTTGCTGGTATTTAAACTATATTTAGTGCACATTTTTCTGTATGATAAAACAAAGGAACAAAATGGTTTTTTCCACCTACAAGAACATTTCTACTCTCCCCAAAGAGAAAAAAAGCATTGCAGTATTTCACTCAATAGTATTTGTCAGGGCTCTGTGGGGTAATTATAGTTTGAACTTTTAGATTCAGCTAGTCAGCTGATTTAGAGCAATTTATTGCACACTCTGACAAACCGAGCCAGTGACATAATGTAGAATATTATTGTAGGATTCTGTGAAAAGCAAATGAGTTTAATACATTACTTTAAACATGCAACTTAAAGTAATGATTTATCAGATGATTGTCAGCCTTCTTATTTATGATTATTGTTGAAGGCCTCAAAACCCGGATGGTATCTGAGGCCTGAAATTTCCATAGCAGAGAAATCTATGATTTGCTGTGAATCCTTTCAGCCCTCAATAGATGGGAAAAGATTGAAATGCTCTGGAGATGAGTCCTCTTTATTTTTTTAATGAAAGGCTGTATAATATATTTTCTGTATGGCTGCAGCAGCTGTCAGGGAGAGCATCTCAGTTCAGCTCTATTATGGGAGAACCAATACCCCATCCTATGGCATTGAGATACACTGAGGGGCCAGTACTGATTGACAGCTTGTCACCATGACGTCTTATTCCATCTCTGTTATGGAGAAAATTAATGTCACACCACCAGCCTTATGACTCGCTGTCATCTTAGAACTGCTCACCTTTTATCAATGCTCTAAATAACATTTCAAGCCCATCGTCTCACGGTGGACAATCCGGTCAAGGGACATTAAATCAGATGACTGTGAAATGTCATAATAAAAATGGAATGCTAACAACTTCTTCACTAAACTAGCTTCTCTGGTTTTTAAACTGTGACAAGGGGGAGCACAGGTTCAGCATACCCGTTCTGAAAAGGTCATACAATCTCTCTCTTGGTCTGCTACCCATTATGGCCCTCCTGCCCCCCACCCCAAAAGGAATTAATCTTTTCATACAATAGTGATAAAATAATGGTTCAAACAGTAATGCCTGTTTAATTTGTAGGGCTCTGATGTTCAGCTACAAATGGTTAAATGACAGTAATAGAGTCATTTTCCAGGGCTATTTGATCTGATGGCAGGGTCAGCTCTCATTTACTGTTTTCTGTCTCAAGAAGATGTGCAAAATACATATTTTAAATGGAACCGACTATATAGGAAAGCTTAAAAATAAAATTCTATACAATAAAGCTGACAAATGGTATAATGTATCTTGCTCGCTGCACAATATTATTTTACTGTATGTTCTATCAAGGACAGCAGCACAAATACTGAAAAGAAGCAGTAATGTATAGAAATTATAAAGGTTTCACAAATATTGTGTTTGAGTTCTTTGTCCTCTTTTTAAGCAGCTATGCATGGATCATGTTGTGAACAAAGTAATTTAGTTTGTAGGCAAGCACTGCAATGTCTGAAATAACCATACTGATAAACCCCATCATTTCTTCAGGCTGACTCTTTTCTTTTTTAAAAAAAATGAGCTCTCCTGTTTTTGCGAGCAATGGGGTCTATAATAATAATATTGTCACTTTTGGGGAAAAAAGGCACATGGTTCAATCAAGTTGTGGAATATTAGCAATACTCTAAATCCATAAAAATGATCAGAACAGCCAGTAACACTTGCTTCACATTAAACTGGTAATTCAGAAAAAAATAGGGTTTGCTCTTCTTGGTATCAAAATGCATATCACTACAATTAATCCATCAGAAATGCATTATATCTATTAAGATCTAGTCTGACACAGCAGACTGCCTTGGTTGATACCAAAATCTGAAATAATACTTGTAATTATTAGTTCTTAGACATGGTACATGGTATCTTAACTCTTGGTTGGTTTAAGAAATATAATGTTTAGCCTTGCTAAGTCACCTCTATTAAACTGTGTTTATGATAACACTATTGGTGTATGATTTGTACAAGCACCAGCAGACAGCTGATTCAGTGGAGATAGCCAGAATAAATTTGCTGAAGCGCACATCCTGCTAATCTGTTTGAAGAATATTGTTCGGCATTAGTACTGGCACTTCATGTTATCTGCAAAGCCTGATAAGGTACATCTTTATTAAATTCAGTTATTGAAAGGATGTCAGCCAGGGAATACGAATATTTTAAAATAAAAAAATTAAACAGCCCTTTGTTAGTCAGTGCTTGGTTTAATGGCAGAGTGTCTAGAGAAGCCTTCTAAACACCTGGCAGCACTGTACAATAAAAGCTTTGTAATTTTAGGTGGAAATAGGTTCTCTTTATTCTTTGTGTGAAGTGAGTCACTTTGGGTGACTTCAGGATTAATACAGCCTGGAGTAAGAGCTCCCCTTACTGTTGCTTTACTAAAACTACACAGTAGCATACTTAATACAAGGATGCTGGGAGGGGGGGGGAGAAATTTGTTTTCAAAACATTCAACCTGGAAACATTTAGCTTAGTAGCGCTATTGTATTGGAACAAGTCGTGTCTCAATTATTGTGTAACCTGTGAAGGAAAAATTCTCTCAACATTCTGAAAAGCATGGCAAAGTTGGTCTAACATATTGCTGAATTCTTCAACTACTTGATATAAATACTACTGGAAAGATTCACAAATGGAACACTGATAATTATGGAATGAAATTTGGTTCTTCATTTGAAAACAGCAATCAAGTAAAATCAATGTGATTGAAACTGAAACTCGACGAGCAACAAAAAGCTATTGGAAAGGACTAATAAAACATGCTTGTAACAGCATCTGGCCATTTTTATATGGGTAATAATCTATTTGATATAAGGCTATAATACTAAATCAACTTATTCTGGAGTACATAACCTGAATGGCTTCTAGTACTAATAGGTTAACGTCAAGTTCTCCATTGGTCTCTGAATATATTTGCTGGTTTACTTGTTCCCTATTTATCATATAATATAATCCCATGCAAGTAAGGGCACTACATACATATCTCCTTAGCATTTCTTCCTGTTCCTTCTGGTCCTCCAAGGCATTGACTGAGAGGTCAGAGATGCTGACTGTAGCTGAGGCTGTCAAGGTGACCAGCAGTACCAGAAAGCCTTCCCCTTCCTCTAGAGGCAGCTCCAGTTTATGAGTTTGTTCTTTACTCAGGGTCGATAGGTCAACCTGGCACCTAGGAACAAGCACTTTTGATTAGCATGGGTTTTTCTTCACAAGAACAATGTGGAATGTCATGCATCCAACTAGGTAAAATATAAATAAATGAAAAGGGCCTTTGGAAGCCAGTCTCTTCAGATTCAGTTCTCGTTTGCCATTCTGCACACTGCATCTCGGAAACGTAGCACAACTATTAGAAATTATATCTAGACACTCTTGAATTTGAAACTATATCAGATCAAAACTGAAATGTTTTTGCACTTCTGTCATGTGAACATACTATGTTTCATTGACTAAGACTTCTTAAGCAAGGTTTCCTTGTAGTTCTTTTTCAATCTTTACAGAGAAGAGGGTTGTTGTTTTTAACTATAGCACGAAGACAAGGCAGTTTCTACCTGATAGCCAAGTTTAGATTTCTGGCTACCAACAATGGCTACTGTTATGTTTATATATATATATATATATATTTAAGTAGGACCAAACTCAAATTGAGAAAAATGTGATAATACTATTATCTGGGAATGCTTCTGTGTAAAGAGGAAGAAGAAGAAAGGGAAGCATGCTAGGCAAAGCAAGATAGGCACATCCTGTTAGTAAACCAGCACCACGAGGCACAGGTGTGGAGAAAAAACTGTACGTACAGAAAAGCAATGCAAAAAGACAATGCACAACTAACAACATGCACTGCTAACATCACTGCATCTCAGAAACATAGCACAACTATTAGAAATTATATCTAGGTGCTCTTGAATTTGAATGTCAAATTTGAAACTATATCAGATCAAAACTGAAATGCTTTTGCACTTCTCTCATGTGAACATACTGTGTTTCATTGACGAAGACTTCTTAAGCAAGGTTTCCTTGTAGTTCTTTTTCAGTCTCCACAGAGAAGAGTTATTTTTTTAAAAAAAAAACTATAATATGAATACAAGGCAGAAATTTCTATTCCTACATACAGCCAAAATGTTGTATCACAAAGTGATATTAAACTGTTTTAAATTTTGATAAAGAGAATCAGAAAAGTTTTAGTGTAATACAGTGTAATATATAATATATAATAATAGAGTAATATAGTGTAATACAATACAAAGTAATCTCCATTTTTTCAGAATTGTAGTTGAATGCCCCACTGCACACAGAACATTCAAGTGAACTGAATCCAGCATGTGCATGTTTGTAATATAAAGGCAGTGGTGGGGAGGGAAGGACTGCATAAGCAGGGGCTATGGAAACACACACCAATGAACAGAGGATTGTTTTCACACCAAATTTATGGGAGGGTTTGTAATCATTTTATACTTCTGCATCCCATGGAAACAACATACATGCCACGGCTGCATGTAAAACTGTTTCTGTTTGTGTGCTGAAGGGCCACATTTCAGCTATTTCTCAAGATGTTGAGCGTGGCAACAGAATACCTCAATCAGCCTTATTCTGTGGATTGGCTCAAAAAACAGTGCTTGAGCAGCAACTTCTACTTCCACTTTAGTAGTTTAATCTTATTCCAGATGACAATGCTACATTTGCCAAGAAACACCCACTACCACTACCTTATTGCTACATTTGGCTGGCCTTGATGGGTCTCATGTGTCGTGTAATGAGACTTATTAGCACATATGTGGCCAGAAGGAACACACTATCTTCCCAATCCTTTAAAATTTCTTATTCTTCAATTACAACTAAAGAGTGTTAGTTGCAATTTCCTTTTCTCTCACACAATAACAGTAGTGCTACTTACATAGTGAAATAATTGCCCCTGACTGTTTTAAGCATAAGGGATATGAGCTTTTGATTTGCATTCCTAACGAAGAGTCCTGTCTTTCTTAGGAATGATAATTATGAAGAACCCATGAGGTAGTAAGAGATATATGTGCCCCTGAAGAACACATACATGTAATCAATCAGGGGAGGAAGGGACTAGTCCTATAACCTTTCTTATGTACTCAACAAGAGCAACCCATGAACTGCATATGGTACTGCTGCATGAGTTGTGGGGTGGGCAGCCCTAGTACAGCAATGTCCGAAGGCTCCTTTTCAGACTCAGTTTACCATGATTACCAATTCACATAAATCGGCCATATTTCTTCATCTGTTCATGCACATGCTAACAATGTTGAGTGTGTTAAGTCCCACCAAGTCACCTCTGACTTATGGCGACCCCTATGAATTAATGACTTGCTCGGGTCTTGCAAACTGAGGGATGTGGCTTCCTTTATTGAGTCTGTCCATCTCATGTTGGGTCTTCTTCTTTCCCTGCTGCCTTCAACTTTTCCTATGGTTTTTTCCAAGTGACTCTTGTGTTCTCATAATGTGACCAAAGTACAAAGCTTCCATTTGGTCCTTTTAGCTTTTAAGGAGAGTTCAGACTTGATTTGATCTAGAATCTTTACAGTATCTTTACAACTCTCTTCAACACCGCATTTGAAATGAACCAACTTCCTTCCTTACAGCTTTCTTCGATGTCCAAGTTTCACACCCACACATAGTAATGGGGAATACTATAGTATGGATTATTCTCATCTTGGTAGCCAGTGAAACATCCTTACACTTAAGGAACTCTTCTAGCTCCTTCAAGGCTGCCCTTCCCAATCTCAATCTCCTTGTGATTTCTTGGTTACAATTATCAGCTAATAAATACATATGATTTTACACTTTTAATGCAAAGGAGTGTAGTCGGGATTGCCTTAAAATGTAGGTGACCTCTTGTACTGAGATTAAAATCATTTCACCATCAACTGAAATTTTTACTTAAGCATTAGCATAATAAAATTAGCTGGCTACATTTACTACTGGGTAAATCAAACTTTTCCATTTCAATACAGACAAAGCCTAGCTTTGGAGTCAGGCTTAGAAATAAAATTGTTCCCAAAAATACATTACCCCATTTATTAGGTTGCAGTTGTGATGGACTACATTTAAAATGCTGTTTTCCCAATGCAACAAAATCAGAGAAGGGAGGTGAATAGTTAACTCTGCTCTAGAATGTTGAGCTTGAGTGACAGGCTACTCTGTTTTTTTGATTGGCTAGTGCCAGCTGAGGGAAATATAAGATTAGCTGTGTGCTGAGGGGAGAGTGGAGTTTTAAGTTCAGTGGCAGTTACTGGTCAGTAAAGAAAAGGTTTAGCTACAGGAGTGGATGTTTGAAGAGTCTCTCTCTTTATTCAAAAGGTGAACCTGTCATTGAATAAAGGGAGAGACTCCTGGTCTTAACCAGTGCTCCCTCTGTGGAGTCTCGTGAGCAAAAATTCTAGTTTGTGAGCTACTAGCATTAAAGTTGTGAGTCAGCGATTTGGCTACTGCATACATTAGTTTGCTCTGGAGCCGTCCTTCCTGAGCGGAGACAAAAATGTGTGAGCCGGAGGCTGAAAAACTGTGAGCTAGCTCACACTAACTCAGCTTAGAGGGAACACTGGTCTTAACTGTGTTAAACATAACCTGAGAAAAAAATCCATCTAAGAATTCAGTCTAGTGTCAACTAAAGCTGAAGTACGTTTTCACACAGATGCCAAGTACTGGGGTTTGAGATTTTGGCAAAGAATGACTGGGAAGCTGGCTGAAGCTCCCAATCAGGCCAAAAGGAAAAGGATTATATTTTCAGGGAAGAAATATAAGTCCTGTCCAGTTATACAGGGAATTGGCACTGAGGCAGTCCCTGGTGTGTAGTAAAAGGAAATGGTTATAGACTACTCAGGGGAAAGAAGACACATTGTGATTTCAGAAAAGCAGAAAGAGTCTAATACACAAAAAGACTGATCTTTCCAGAAAACCTGAATAGTTCCTACTAATAGTTAGTAGGAAACTATATGCAGAAACATTATAACTGAGACTTAGGTACTCTGTAAACCATCTCTCACTGATAAGAACCAAGAATTTGTAAAAATAAGCTCCTACAACACCATCTTGTCTGTCAACTGAAAAATGTATGGTTTTACCAACATTTCCCTCAGCCTTTCCAATACCTGATTACCCCATACCATCCCTGCTAATAATAAAATCTTTATTATTGTTCCCTATTACACAGTCTTCAGTGCCATTTCAAGGGATCTAAAAAGAAGGCTCCTGTTTTCTCCTGACAAGTTCCTGAGCTGGGCAAAAGCCAAAACAGATTCTGTCACAGGGTTAGGGACGTTCAAATTTATAAAGCCGCATATATTACCACACTACAGGGGGCCAGCACAGTACCTGAAGGGAACTAAGAATTTTGGCGGGAAAAATCTGCTTCAGCAGGGGTCTGCCATAGTAGTCTAAAAGCTGGAATCGGATGCACCAATATTTTGAAAAAGCATTTAATGACTTTTCTAAAGAAGAACTAAGAAAACCATGATTAATCTGAATATGCATGCCTCCCTTTTTATGTTTTCTAAAAGCCGAAGATGGATCACCCTGTCAAAATGGGGGGAAATGCAAGGTATGTTTATACTTCAGGAAAGTTCTGCATAAGTCACTAAATATCTATCACATACACACTGTGTGCAGGGGAGGGTGCATAAAGTTTCACAAGTATCTTTTATCTTGTTGGAGAAATATTGTGAATATTTCTCAGGTCATTTGCAGTCTGCATGGTGCACGAGCCACTGCAGATGGTGGTGTTGGGGATGTTGAAGCACTCCAGGCAAGGGAAGCCTTCGTAGTCCTGGCCATGCATGTCCACCTAGCCGTGGCAATACTCACTGCCACCACCTGTCCTTTGAGCCTGGAGCAGGGAAGGGAAGGGACAGCGACACGCAGGGGTGGCCCCTTGTGCCAGACAGCACAGTACAGCCTGCCAGCAACAAGTACTTTACAGAGGAAATAGACTTTCTGGGGGAAATAGAGAGGTGCTGTCTGGCTCTGTGTGGTCACCATAGTTGGCCCTTCATGCCAGACAGCTACACAAGAATGCCTGGCTCCTTCCCTGCACCTGCCGCCGCTTGGGGGTCCTGGGCTGGATGGGAAGTTGTGGGGCCTTACCAGTAAGTTGGAGGGCCTAGCTCCAAAATGCCCCGCTGTACATATGGGCCTGAGTTAGAAACCTGA